GGCTCTTCCAATACCTGTGAGAAAGATTGTTGTCATCATCAGACTTGTATTCTTCACTTAAAATTACGCAGAAATGGGGGGTGAAACGTTGTGTTGTGGTTTACAGCTAGGCTGTCTTCTTCTGCTTCTTCTTCGCTTTCACCAGCTGTAAACTCTGGCGGAAAGTTCTGGTTGTTCATACACTTTTGGACTGCGGTCCTGTTCTAGAACCTGAGTGTTGCGTGTGAATCCGTTTTACAGATCTGACTCATTTGTGTGCAGACTGCTTATTCCTTGCCTCTCAGGCAGATGCATTCCGACTTCGAAGGGAGCTCATAATTAGTCGACTCTTTCGATTAACTTTTGGGTAGGCAGTGGGTCTATTCTTTTTTTTTTTCTATAAAATAGGGCCCCGGAACCAACATAGGGACAGCTAGGCTGTGATAACTGCGATTTTCGGACCATCATATGCGATTTTTTCACGAATGGTTGAATTAATACAATACTTTTTAATAACGAGATGCACGTACAGTCAATTCTCTTTCATCACATCGGGGGAAAACATCTAAACAAAACAGCATCAAAAGTAAACTTACCGTGAAAACAAATAATAGCAAACACTTGAGAATTTTTCTGATGTACTTCCCGAAATAGAGTACATATCACTATAACTTTACAGCGGGAAACTGATTCAAATATTTAATACAACATTCATACAAGACTGAACATTCCAACTGCAAAGCCAGTATCCTCGAACAAACTTCGTTTTTTGTAGAGATTCTGCATGTGCTGCTAACTCACACACTGTTCACGATACACCAGTATACATGTTTACTAATGCACTACATTTATTGATATACAAATATACATCATGACACATGGGTACACCCATAATTATTCCGTTTACTTACTAATACATACAGACATATCTCTACAGGTGTAGATGCATAACTGTTTCCGGTAAGCACACTGGCTAGAAACTTGTTGTTTTCTTCCCCCTTCGTGTCCCTCCTTGCTAGATCCATGCCTAATTCCTCGTTCACACATTCTTACGTATTTTATTTTATCTTGTATCGTTTCTTCTATCAGCATTCGTTCATAAATAGTCTTCAGAATGTCTCCTTTGTCCAGTACGAGAATTCCTGTAACTATCGCACATAATGCACACAACAAATTACAGCCCGGGGTTGAAACGGGAGGCAGAAGGACGAAACGATCCTCCAATACATACTTGATTTAAAATATTTATAAATAAAACATGAGATAACGTTTCACACGATGTATTTTACAAACATTCTGAAGCCAAGTTTTATTTACGCACAACTGCTGTTATACATCACATACATCATACTGTACATACATCATACGTATGCAATACAAAAACACTCTTTATAGAATAAAATTGTGAAGGGCGGCCATGGCTTTGCGTCTGTCTGCACTACCGAGATCTAAGGTGTTGTCGCGGAGGTACAACATACACAACATGATTGGTGACATGTATGACATACCTCAAGGACTTGCCCACCGCTGTTTAATCCCTCCACACTTCGTGTGTCTCTACAGCGATTTCATAGGGCGTTACATTGTCTTTAGGCAATTGGTTTGTAGGAGAAATACACTCACACAGACATAGCACTACACAAACGGAAGAAAAAAACTCATACTAGTACACACATCCGATACACACACGATACATACATACATACATACACTACATACATACATAATGCATACATACATACCATACATACCACATACATACATACATACATACATACATACATACATACATACATACTTACATACATACATACATACATACATACATCCATACATACATACATACATACATACATACATACATACATAATACATACATACAACAATACATACATACATACATACATACATACATACATACATACATACATACATACATACATACATACATACATACATACATACAGACATACATACATACATACATACAGACATACATACATACACATACATACATACAGACATACATACAGACATACAGGGACATACAGTACATACATACATACATACATACATACATACATACATACAGACATACAGCACTAGACATACAGTACATACATACATACATACATACAGACAGACATATCATACATACATACAATTACATACATACATACATACCTGACATACATACCAGACATACATGACTACATACATACAGACAGACACATACATACACATACATACATACATACATACATACATACATACAGACATACATACAGACATACATACATACATACAGACATACAGACAACATACATGACATACAGATCCATACATACATACATACACAGTACATACATACATACATGACATACATACATAAGACATACATACATACATACAATACGTATACCTACATACACCTACGTACGTACATACATACATACACCATACATACATACAACAGACACACACAACCTACATACATACAGACATACACACATAAAGTACATACTACATACATACAGACATACATACCATACATACATACAACCATACACACATACATACATACATACCACACATACAGAACATACATATACATACCTACATACATACATACAATACACATACATACATACATACATACATACATACATACAACAGACATACATACATACATACAGACATACATACAGGACATACAGATATACATAATATACATACATACAACATACATACCTACAATACATACCAATGTACACCACACAAGTATTCCAATAACCTTTGGAATCGAATGTTAATGTCATTTCTGCTCCACAATCCACAGGCAGCAGATTCTTTTATGCCTAGCTGCAAATGCTTGGTGTTTCCTGTGCCTCGAAGACCACAGTGTCGTGTCCGAAGTCTAAAAAAAGTGATGTTGTTCTTTCCTGTTGAGTATTGTTTATGCTGTCACTCTCTGGTCTGTAATCCCATTCTGCCTTCTCCACATCCTAGTTAAAAGACTGCTTTAGCGCTGTTTTGGTTTCTTTGTAGGTGTGTGGTGGATGAGGTTGTGGAAGATTACTCCCAGCTTTTGCCAACTCATCTGGTCTCTCATTTCCTTGAATACGACAGTGGGCTGGTATCCACTGCAAGACTAGTTCTGCTTCCTTGGAGAGTAAGCCAATGTTGGTTTTTAGATCTGCAATTAGTTTGTCTTGTTTTTTTTTTTGTTTTTTTTTTATAGTGCTTGGAGAACAGACAATGAGTCGCTAAGTATAACAATTTGGTGTCCTCTGCGTTCTTGAGTGATGATATGTTGTACTGCAGAAAGGGGGGCAGTTGCCTCAGCTCTGAAGTTAGTGCAGATGGCACCTGCTGGTAGAGAGAGAGAGAGATTTTCTGCTCTACTGCTAGGGGGTTTAATGTATATTCCACAACCCCCTTTCTGACTGCATCTGTAGCAGAGCCGTCGGTGAAAACCTAACATACATCCAGGTGGTGTTGGGATACTTCTTATCAAGCATAGCAAGATCCAGGGTTCTCTGTTGTGTCTCCGTCTGGGCATCTTTTGAAGTAATCCCTGGTACCTGTAAGACTACATTTGCCTTCTCTGGCTTGCTTTTCCGTGGTTCTGGCCTAAGTTTTTCCCACAGTGCAACATCTCTTTCAAGCAGATCTTGGTGCTGTCTTTACAGTTCTCTAGCAAGGTGGTTGGGGCTCTGGACACTTCAGTACTGTTTTTTGTGTCTCTTCTGAAATTAAAATGTTAGGGGTGACTTGGGTCTTTTTAATTTCTCATACTGATAAAAGAGTTTTGTATTGTCTTCTGAGTTAGAGTGGTTGAGTATCTGCTATCCTCCCTATCTCTCTGATGGTGGTGGCCTTCATGGCTACGAGAACAATCCTTAATCCCATATTCTGAACATTGTCCAGTTTTCAATATTGTTGTCTGGCTGATGCACGCCCATGCAGTGGAGGCATATTCCATGACTGGCCTGACTGTTCCAGTATATACTTGTTTCAGGATTCTGGAGTTAGCGCCCGTTTGGTATCCGCTAATTTATTTCATCACTGCAAGCTTCTTGAAATGCTATTCCCTGTAACTATGCTTCTACATGTGGACTGCCAAAGTTAGGGTTGAATCAAGAAAAGTTAGGAGTGTCCTGTGGAAATGAGCTGGTTTTTTTTATCCAGATTCGATTTTTTTTTCTTTTTGGGTGGAGAGGAGAGGAAAGCGATGCTGTGCTTTTTGATTATTTAGCTTTAGACCTCACTTTTCGGTCCAGTCTTCTACATTTTCTATTCTCCCAGTTTTCCTGTAACAATTATAGAGTCGTGTGTAGTGTATTCGGAGGCAGTCCAAACTGCAAAGTCAATCGGCATGCATGTATTATAAACGGTGCTGGGTGGCAGGTTGCTGTAATATCATTATGTACACAAGCACAGAGTTGGTGCTATCGACACTGCCCTGGGGAGCTCCTTCTCTTCGTTTTGCCAATTCAGAATCTGGGCTCTGCGATGGAAAAGAAAGTCTTTGATCCACTTGTACAGGTTGTGCACAACTCCTGCCTGTAGCAGTTGTAGTTGTATGCCTCTTTCCAACTGTATCGAAAGCACGAGAAAAGGTACAAGAAACAAGCAAGAACTTTTTTTTTCCTGGAAGGCATTCTCAATTTTCCTGTGTCGGATATGTCAACTGGTCCTCTTGTTTTCTGTGCTGTCTGTATCCTGTCTGTGTGGTGGTGATTACAGATTTGTCTCCAAGAACCACATTCATGCCTTTCTTTACTAATTTCTCCGTCCATTTTACTATACAACTAAGACGGCTGATGAGTCTGTAGCTTTTGGGTCTCTTCCTGTTCTCTAACCTTTTTATGGATAGGCTGGATTTGAGGGCTTCCTTCGTAGGGCTTACCGGTACTAAACCTTTTTGTGCCAGCTCTGGTTGTAAATGCAGAATAGAAACTCTTTGCCAGCGGTCCAAGAGTGATTATGAATTCGTTTGTCAATTGCTGTTAGCCCTT